AGCAAGGATGTAGCCCAGGAATATTCTTTTCTTGGAAAGAAAGGAAAGAAGTGCTTCAAGGAACTAATGAACTGCAAGTCGATCACAGGTTGGTAAACAATAGGTTGTTTCTTATCCATAGCATGTCTCATAACTGGAAAACAAGACATATATCATACTCTGATATTTTCTAAGAGGTCATTACAATTTATTCAATTTAATTCCAGGTATTTCCTGAATGCATGCAAGAATATCAGTGAGGAAAGGGCTCAGGCATAAAATTTTAATCGACTATCCCCCTCTCCCCCAATTTTCCAATGTAATGACATTAAGTCAGAAAGGTGCTATGTATGATGTGAATGTTTTGCTTTGGAATTTATTTTTTTAAGTGCTAATTTGCTGCCAAGGTTATATTCATAGTTAATTCCAAGCAGATTTGGATTTGATTTTGAAACTTATGATTGGATTCTGTTTCCATCATCCTTGAATTTTCTATATTCCTTTTCCTTTTCAAGTTGCTGCAAAGAAGCTGGCATTGACTGAGAAGGAAGTAAGCAGTGTGGTGGGGAACTCTCTTCGCTTCTCCCGAGACTGGAATGGAGGAAGACGTTTACAGAGAATCCTTTAAGAAGAAAAATTTTTTGTTTGATTGACGGGTATCTGTCCTAGAAGATTTTTTGTAGGACCATTCTTGAAGCCCCCAGAAAAGTTTATATGATGACACTTCACAACCAGGAGTATAAAGAGAAAAAATACAACTTAAAACTCTTAATAGAAACAATAAATACGAACAAAAAACAAATTAATATAAAAACGTAAGTTTATGAACACAAAGAGAAAAGACCAAAAGTACCAGTGCCACTGTATTTTTTGCTTTGAAGGAATTATTAAGCGCTTCAGTTTGAAATGTTTTAAGAGGCATTCCAATTCCATATTTTGTAATTGATGAACCACAGTCTGATGTGATGGGAGGATTCAGGCATCCTCTGAATCTGCATCTATAGTTCTAGCTGACGATTGATGAGCTATGCCTCCACTTATTCTGACATTTGGCCCTCTAAAAAGCAATGTGGACCTAACTTGAAGAAGAAACACCGCTGAGGATACCAGCGCAAGCGCATGAGATAATCCCTGAATTTGTGGAAAGACCGAAGGAGCATCTTTCGTATTTGCACCCGAAATTCACCCAACATGCAACGATAGGATGAATGACGGTTGCAACCGGGTTGCCAGTGAAAGTGCACCCCGGATGCACCCATCGGATGCAACCCGGTTGCATAGGACTGCAACCTCCTGGTGATTGGGCCAACGTGGGCCCCACGAAAAATGTTATCTGGGATGTTTCGCTTAGTCTCATTATAGGAATCAATAAACGCGAACATTTCATCATTTGTTATCCACTTATGCAAGACAAATTCATGGAGCTCAGGCCATAAACAAGCTCATATTCCCAATGAGAACCCTTTTGATAGACAGGAGGATCCAGGTAACACTACGTTGTGACAACATTTTATAAAAGCAATAATGTTGTGTGGATGCAGTATGTTGTCACTCTGATGTTTTGATAATGTTGTTACAATATCTTCACCACAACATAGACAAATAGCTAAATATAAGAAAATAAAAGCTTATAAAATTCACAAGAAATAATTGTGACGAAGCTGTAACGTTTTAGGGGTCTCTGAATATTTTTTAATTACGGCAATATATGGAATGTGGATATATTGTAGAAAACATTGTTACATTTGATTGCCCTTTTATACGATGCTATCGCAACATTTTCCTATAACGTCGTGACAACGAATTTTTTCTGACGTTAACAACGTTTCTAATCCAATCGTCGCAGCTGCAAGTTTTAATGGGTGTATGAGAGCATTCTTAAATTCAAACCATACTGCCACAATAATCCCTTCTCATTAAAGTCGTCACAATGTTATTTTTCGCCAGAAGGGATAAGTTGTCACAACATAGAGGATAATGTTATGATGACGTGGAAAAAAAGGACATTTAGATGTTGTGATAATGTTTTCGATTACATTGGCACAAAATTCCATATGTTGTGGTACAACATTTTCAGAATGTTGTCATTACATGTGCGTGTTGCCTGGGTATCAAGTTCCCAAATCTTGTTTATGTTCTCTTTACTTCACGTGATGCTAATTTTGGCAAAACTTTGACCATCAAAAACTTCTGATTCTGGGCCGGATACAGTCATGATCATTTCAGAAAGTGAAAAACCATTTTTAAGTATCTCTAAATAAACTAGTTTCACGCTAATACTCTGGAGAAAAAAAAAAACTGAGCAGTAAGAAATCGTTTGAAATTGAATATCTTGTGTGAAATTCACCATGAAAATGACACCATAACAAAGTATTTAACAATTACGAAAAAAAAACATAAACAGTTATAATATCCAATAGCCTCTGAAAAGAAGTAGGCGAAATAAATTTTAATACAAAAAAACAACTTAGGCTTGGTCTAAATTTCTCAATGACTGAATTGCTTTGACAACTCTGCTTGAAAGAACCGAGCGGTTAAGATGATGTCTCCATGCATCGCGGCGTGCATATCCTTCCCCTTGAAGAGACAATTGGGCGTTTTTTGAGCGTTTTTTACATTTCGTAAAGGCTGTTTGCGGTTCATCTCTACAGATTCCTGACTACAGAACCTCCTGATCTAGGGACTAAGCCATTTGGGAGTAATAGTGCATTGGGATACAGTGGAGTTTGGTGGAAGGCCTGTGTTAAAGCAAAGGTACCACCGACATATTCGTGACACCTGACGTTCAACATTACCATCATTTTTGAATCATATCTGGGTAAGATTCCACTTCTTTCCTTTTCTGTCTGCTCTGATGATATGAAGCCCTGGGCCTGGTAAATGATTCCTGACAGTTAACCAACTGCACCTAGCTGTCACGTGAATAACTGAAGGTAGGGAGGTTGGATGGACGAGAGAGGACGAAAAAAAGCCAGGGGACGGCCGGGAATTGAACCCGGGCCTCCTGATTGCCGGTCAGGTGTGCTACCATTACACCACCGAACCCAGGACATTCAGTCGTGCCTCTCAACACTGCCTTCATCGCATAGCCATATTTCAGCTGAACAAGCCAGACACTTACCGCTTAAGTATTCTTTTTTAGTCTGTAGACTTTCATGAAGTCTCCAAGATTTGGCTTGACAAGCTAGACATACAGGAATAAGCATGTGACAGGGTCCTGTGGCTATAGTGAGAGAGAGCGAATCAGAGAATATAGAATTCAGAGAGCCCCCTACCTTGATTTTAAAATTTTTGGAAAGTGGGGCACTTGAGAGTTGTGGAGACAACATTGTACATGAATACTTTTGGGGAAGGTGTATTGATGCAAGACATGAAATTTTATGGAATCATAAATGGTACTGACAGATGCTCATAAACAAAATGGGCAAGGCTTTTTTTTTTCTTGTTAGACGTACTATAACCAGAATTTCATGGGAATAATGATCATATTCCAGGCGATTACCAAAAATAATGTTGCTTACTGGTTCTCTTCTCCCTCCCCACCCATACCAAGGTTACTCCCTCTGGGGAGCCGATTTCTTGATCAGCTGCTATTAGTTTTTTTCTGGGGAACGAAGGTGCAGCTGGAAATGAAAATAAGTGCATCTTTTTTGAGAAATTGATGTCAAAGTGCATGCTGTGTAAGTGCATGATAATTACTTTTTTTCTCAGTTTTAAAGGAGTGAGCCAAAGGGAAAAAAATCAAACATGAAAAACCTTTACAAGGAGTATATGTTGCTCACAAGAGAACACAAGTTGAGGAAATTAGTGAATTTGCCAAGATCTATTTTTTTCCAAGCAACATGACATATGTATGCTACTTGAAAAACTGGTTAGGGGATTTCCAGATACTGGTTCAGCAATGATTTTGGATAATTTTGACTCCCTGCATTTTTGTCTTGCTGAAATTTTATACAGTTCCTGTAGTAGATTCTGATCCAAGGAGCTCAAGCTGTTTCTAAATAAAAAACTTTCTTTGCTCCAGACTATTTTTTCTGCAAAACACTTTACATTCCTTGTCACTTATTGTTCACCTCCAAATCCAAAAATTGTGTCATGGCAAACTACTTGAAAAGCTGAGATTTTCAAGCAGAGTGATCTACATCAGCCACACCCTGGAAATTGGGAGGAACTCAACTGGATTCAAGGGGAGTGGGAAACCATCACATCAATGGCACCTGTCCACTTGAGAGCTTTGGGATGCAGATCCTCAAGTGCCTGGAAGTTGATAGAAGTCATACCAAGTATTGAAGCTATAGCTGGTTTCTACAATGTTCCTGGCTATTTGGAATGCAAATAAATATACACTTTCTTTTTACTCTTGTCTGGATCAATAAAAGTTAAGAGGTAAAGTACAGGAACACACTACATATTACAGGTGTCTCATTTAGCTAAGCTGGGGATGTGTTGTACATAAACTGCTCAAGTTCAAAGGAATCATATATATGTCTCCATATCAGCTGCCAGCTGGAGAAAGCTGGACAAGTTTTGAATCAACTACTGCTCCCACTTCTGAATTTATTAGCATTATTTGCGATCTTGATGAATCCCAAGGCTCCTGAGTGTCAGGGTATGAAGGTTGCAGAAGTGCAACTGACAAGAAAAATGAGATTATTACAATGTAGCACAAAATATGTAACAGATTCACATTGATTATCTTTAGAGAAACAGGACCCTAACCGATATACAGAGACTTGATCTTCCCTGAGGTGTCCCACTTCCTCCTATAGGCAAAAAATTGGACTCTGCAACTTTTATGCCCAGAGATGTATGACTTCACTAGGCAATTAAGCTAGAGTGAAGGGAGTTAACAGAAGTATGCATGGGGAAGGTCTACAGAGATGTGTACATCCTCCTCCCAGTGAAAGGGGTTTGCTGATAACATGCAATTTTACATACTTTTTCTTTGGCATATGCAAGGAAATAAGATATATTTCTCAAGGAAGAAGTGTCTTAATTTTGATTGAACCCATGGTAAATGTGATATGAATTCATTTTCAAGTCACTATAGGAAAAGTTATGATGCTGAGAGTGCTGATTGGAATTAATTGAAACTAGGAGCTGAATGCTCCACTCTGTGACTGGATTCTTAATGCTTGCCTTTTTTTCATTCTTCCTTAAGGACATCTGTGGCACTTGCTGTGATGGGTGTAGGACTTATCACACTTTCCCTTCTGGCTTTCCTCTTCTCAGATGCTGTGGCATCATTGGGTGAGAGAAGTGTCAGATTCTCATTAGCAAAGCCTATTATAGGGCCAAGTTTGGCTGAATGACATGCTGAAGCAAGGTCTGTGTTGAACATAGAATGACAAGGACCTGATTAATTGTTGGATCTTTCTATTGCAGAATATGACTTCTGCAAGCACAAGTGTTCCATCTACTTTGGAGGAAGAGATTTCTTGATTACAGGGATCCTCAATGACAGCCTCTGCTATCTATCATTGGATATTGTTGTAAGTGGTCACTGGTTACATTTTTATTGCGTTTTTAAGTTTTCTTTTTTGAAGGAAAGGGTACTCATTGCTCATGGTGACATGCTGGCAAGGTTGACATGAAGTTACTGTAAAGTGTGAAATATGAAAATTTCAGGTGGACTAGAATATGGAGTCACCAGAGAATAGTTAGTTTCAGGTTTATAAAAACACCCAGGAGCTGTTGGGAACATCAACCTGGGCCTTGTCATCCAAGAACACGGGAAGTAGTTGGAGTAGTACAAGATGATGACATTGCTATTGGTTCCTTCTTTCAGTATGGCTACCACTAGAGCAGGAAGGCAGCTAAGAGATTGCAGGACCATTAGGGTAGAGGCGCCAGTTTGTGGACAGGTGCCTATTTGTAGAGAGTTTTGGGTTTTTTTGCCATTTCACAAAATTCACACCCAAAATTAATGTCCTCAAATGCTTCATATTTTGCACTTGCCTGTCAGCCACCATATAAATTATGCATACCCATCAGCACTAGTGAACGTGGACATTTCCACTTAGTTTTAGACCTAGCACCCCTGAATTCCTTAATTTTTCAATTGATATTTCTTAACAGGATATCATTGAAGATGAATATAATTGCTGTATGTGTCTCATGCCCATATTTTTCCATTCGGCCTATTCACGTTCATAATTGTTAGCAAAAACAGGTGTGCACAAATTATGTCTATGGATGCCCACAAATGTGAACCATGTGAAAATCAGCATATATCCATTTAAACAGTGAATGTTGGAAATGTATATTTTTAATATTTTATTTTATGGTATGGTCATCAAACTATGATGAGTGGCCTTCTGTTCAAACCAATCAAGTGGTTTCTCAGTTACACCAATGACTGTAACACAATTTTCAAGAGGAAAATTTCCTTAGCCTGTCCACATAATGGTGCCTTTACCCTATTTGGAATTTGGCATTGAGGGACTTCAGTGAATTGTGAATGTGTGATGTGGGTGTATTGCTTTTCTGTTTTGCCTTATTCTCCCCCTATTGGACTCCACCAGTGGTTATATACCTTAACCCAAGTCACTGTCAGGTCATAATTCTATCCCAATGATGAATAGTAATTTGGCCAAGCATCATACCTAGACCTACTTGAACCTACTTAAAAGCGAGCATGACATATATAGAGTGGAATGAAGTTCTCTTGTCAGTGACATCTTTCTGTTTGAGGAAAGCAAACTCAATTTCAGGTCATTACAAAATTTAGTTTCACTATTTTTCCTCCAGTTTATCTTAATGGAAAATGAGAGCAGACATTGTATTGTTTAAAAATTGGCAATATGGGCTAATTTTAGGCACATAGGATTTAGCAGGCTTTGCCCATGTGAGCCCATAATTTTTTGGCATTTGTTTTGATTTTTACACTTATTTTATCATTTGAAAGACAAGAAATAGATAATCTATTACTTAAATTCATTCTGAAAATAGTCATGGCATGATAGGAGTGGACACTTGAGGAAGAGTTGTGCATGTTTGAACATAACACAACTTTTTGTCATAACTTACCCACTGACCATAGACAATCCTACCTGTAGCTGTTTTGACAAAAAGGGAGTGAAGAAGTTGTTACCTTCAAAATGCTAAAAGTGACATTTCCATGCTAAACAAATGTCTCCAAATTCAATTTAGTCCTCATGAAAGCAGATTCCAATTTCTTGGTAGGTATATCATGACTCAATACCATGGTACACCAGTGATACAGGCAAGGAACCGGGGGAGGGGGTGCATCAATTACGAAATCCTAGGGGAAAAAACCACAAAGCGCGTGAGTCTATCTGTTGTGATGGCGTCAAGTTAGTTGCACATTGGTATTATGCCATTTGATTGAAAGCAAGGGGATTTGTTCATCTCAACCCTAATGGATGGATTCAGTAGGTGTGTCCAGAAATAATACCATGATTGAAGTCACTGGAAGGACTCAAATTATAGATCTCAGAAAAAAGAAGCATCATGGAAGTGAAATCATCTTATCATTGTGCATGGCAGCACGTTCCATATCAGTATTGAGTGCTCAGACTCACAGAGCAGAGGAGACAGTCAAGACACAAGTGTGCCCACAAATGACAGATCTTGGTCCTTGAGTCCAGATTAAACACACTGGTGACTTCCAGGAAGGCTTCTGGTTTCCCTAGGCAGTTGGTGTCACCGTGGATGGAGATGGGGAGAATAGTTAACAATGTATTTTAATTTTAGAAATGGTTTTTGGTATGTCACATTGGTGGTGGTATGATTAGAGGTGGTGTCCTATGCTTTCCACAACATGACAATAATACTGAAAAATGTAGAAGCGGTCAGTATGATTATCACAAGAACTGAATGCATGTATGATGAAAATACCTTATACTGCAATGCCCTAGCAGTCACTTTGTACCTATACCTCAGACAACTTTCTTCACTCATCTGATAATGCTGAAAGCTACAAACCTTGTAAAAGTTTGTTACAAAAGGTGTCATGTAGATAGGATCTTGCCTGATGGAGTAATGTGGTATTATTGCCTGTGTGATTGGCTCATCATACTACCTTTTATGACATGATGCAGCTAAGTCATGAGTTATCTTCCAGGAGAAAACTTCTTTGCTGAATTGGAATTGGAGTTTCGACATGAGGAAGAGTGAGGAGGTGGTCCCTATTTCAGGACTAACCATGGAGAGTGGTGATCTCTTCTCACCTGTGATGGTGAAGATGGTGAAGATCTCTTCACCTCTTGGAGACACCTACCAAGTGAGCCTTCCATTTTCAATTTATTTCTGGGTGCATCATCACCTACACACACACACACACACACCCCCCCCCCCCCCCCCAAAAAAAAATTCTCCTCTCAAACTGCATATCTTTCTGTGCTACTATGCTACCAAATATTAAGAGGCTAGTTACCGGTTCCATTACAATCCCCTGCATGTGTCTCCACACATCAGCAGAAATAGGTTCAAGTTGTGCTTGAGCTGCCAGGTACCAGCACGACGGTTCTCCATCCCATTATGTTCGCGATTTCCTCCACAATTTTCTGGGGCGATGAGGCCCAATGGAGTGCCAAGCCAGATCCCCCCCCCCCCCCCCCAAAAAAAAAATTCTCCTCTCAAACTGCATATCTTTCTGTGCTACTATGCTACCAAATATTGATCACAATCTGTTGAGAGGAATAATTATTGAAGCTTAGGCATGTGTTATGCATTCATGAGTGAGAGTAAGATTACCTGAGGATCAGTGTAGGAAAAAAAAATTTTTTTCCCACGAACCTGAGGCAACGAATTGGAATTTCCTGAGAAGAATATGCAAGTGGACTAAGCAAGCTGCCCACCCACGCGTCTTCATTCCCGCGAACCACGTTCGCAGGTTTTCAAGGGTTTTCTAAGCCTGCTGAGGATGCAATTCATGGCCTCACCAGTTCAAACTATGTGTCTGTGGTGTCTATTTAAGGACCAACTTGCATTGGGGAAAACAATTTTCTATTTTAATTAAGCCTAGCAGGTGTGTTACACCAAATTTAGGTTTATTGATCAGAACTTTGAAAAATATCAAGCCTTGAAATTTTGCCAAAATAAATTAAATTTACATGATAATGTCCCATGATTCCAAAATGGGGATCAAAAACTTGTTTTTTTCCAACCGCTTATATCTCCACCCCCACCATTCACTCTGACCTTGGGTGTTAACCTTCTTTGTGCCCAGAACCTCCCTCCTTCTTTGTATGAGGATCAAGGAAAGATATGTCATTGTTGGGCACTAAAAGGGTTAAGACTGAAAGTATCATATCTTGGATACAAGCTGTCAAATTGAGATTCTTGCATCAGATGGCTGGTGTGATATGCTGTGATAACATGAGGATTGCTACTATCTATGAAATTCTTTAGGTTGAGCAGCTACTTCTAATTTGCAAGACCTCAAATCTTATGCTTTTGACATGTTTGCCATGTTTTTTCTGAGATGCTCCCAGAAAGAGTCTCTCAATCTGATTGATAAATTATGGCATTTTCTATACAAATTATGCTACCTCTCTCACAAGATCTCAACTCACTGATCTCTCAACACAGCTTGAATGACAAGATAGTGAAACCAAAAGACTCACTCTCTTACTCTTGATTTCATGGTGCTGTGGCATCATGCCACCCTTTTTAAAGTGTCAAAGTCACCTCTGGAAGCAGTGCCTCATGAATTTCATGAATTTCAGTGCAAAACTATGAGATTCTTCACGCCCTCCATGCCACTGATGGCAGGATTGTTGAACATGGCCTACTTACCTAAAGGGCTTTCTCTCCATTTCATCTCCTTGTCTTCCATCATTTATAAAATTGACATCAAGATGCAGCTTGCTCTGCACAATGTCCCAATATTTTAAAATAAAGTGAAGAACAAGAGAAGTTCCTTTCTTGGATGAGAACACATTTATGCATAGATGTGTGCATTTGGACACATGGAAGGATATGCATGAAGTTATTAATGGTAAGATATGCAGTTTTTACATCTGAGAGCAAGGTTGGTGACCCCTGCTTTATGGTAGTTTATTTTTGATCACTTGGACAGGGCTTCTTGGAAGGAGATATGCAGGGAGAAAAGTGCATCTTCCTGAATTCATCCATCTCCCATCCCATGCCTTGTCAATATAGTTCCACTGCAACCATAGGATATTCATTCCCAGAATGGGCAATAGGTAAGCTCTCTGTTCATTTCTGTGTGCTATGTGCCATAGGCTGCAGCCTGACTTTTTTTTTTATGAATTACGAATTTTTATGAATTTATGAATTTTTATGAAAAACTTTTTTTTATGAATTAATTTACTATATATACTTTTTTTCATATCTTTCCAAAACTTTTAGAATTCAATGCTGATTTTGCAAGTCTTCATGCAGTAAGTAGGAGTAGTGTGTTTTATCAGGCAAACTTGAGGAACCATAAAATCTCTCTCTCACCCTTGCACACATGCACAGTTTCCAGCTTTGTCTCACTAGTTTTGTTCCTTCTCAGATAACTATTAAAATTTGTTTCTTATGAGACCAAGAGTGATCAGGTGAACATTACTGGGACTTGGGTAGGACCATGTCTTAACAATATGAAGGTGGTGGCATGAGACCAAAGGCAGAAAAAGGCCGCAGAATAACTGAGGTTTCAGCAAGCTGACATATTCAGTGGCTGATGAAAAAGTGCCACTTATCACCAAAAATTGCCCATTTTCATAGAGCCTATTTTCATTGTTGGCATCACTGCATTTTGAGTATCAAGCAATGTTCAGAATTTCCCCAGTATCCTTTTTGAAATTTAATTCTACCACCTATACTAAGCATCATAAAAATTTAGATAAAGGGTGAAATAATTCATTATAAATATCTATCACCAAAAAATCAGGAACTGAATTGGATGGATGGTGACTTTTTTCCCATTGGGTGAATTGGGATGCCCCACATAATTTTGCAATATTCAGTATGTATGAGCGTGTCAATCATTATAGTTATCACACATCTTTCCTGATAGCTACCATTTATTTCCTTCAAACAGAGGTGGTCTGATTGGAACAAAGCCAGTTACATCCACACCTATCCTGGAGCTATGCTAGGGTAATCTACTTCAACCTTCAGTGTCATTGAGGCCATTGAGCAATTAGGGTGCAAGTTTTTAGGGTCTACCCTATAGCCTCAGCCCCAGTGCAAGCAAGGTATAATTGACCTTCTAGTGATAGCATTGAGGGGATTTCATCATTAACATGATGCTTTATGTACACTTGTGAGATGCAGAAAAATGCCCATTCAAAGCATTCCTCATGGAGGATGCAACTGCAGCCAAGGAGCTCTATCATATACTTTTTGAAGGAGTGCACCATATCATTGTTATGTTAACCCCTTTACTGGCATGATTTCATGCCTACACTGGCACAGATGAGACCAGCTTGTCTGAAGGGGTTAATACTTAATATTGACAATGTTCCTGTTCTGAAAATTATTATTTGGGCTTAATGGTAGGGGAGAAGAGAGGTCATAAGTGGCTCATATCTGCTGAATCCAAAAAAAGTGACAGGAGGAGAGCTTTCATCTCTTCCTTTTTCTATTTAATAGTGTCTAGTAATAAATACTTGTGAGATTTTACTTATAAATAAAAAGTAGGTTAAGCTTTTAATGGATTCTAGCAGTCAGGCAAGGAAGGCCTAATGCCTACTGCTCTCCCTTCCTTGCCCCCTCTAATTTTCAAATTAAATTAGTATTTTAAAAATTGGTGAGATTTATCTTCATTAACCAAAATGAAAGTTCATAGAAACTAAAGAATCTTTGAGGATCCATCAATGTAATCTTCCTATTGTATCATCCACTTCTTAAAGACTTCTGGTAGTCCATCCTTGGATATCTTCAGACTGTCCATCAGGATGTTGAGTTCCTTGTTTATCTGAAAATTCTGTCCCCAAATATGTTTTTTGGCCTCAGGGAACAAGAACGATCACACAGAACCAAGTCTGGGCAATCTGGGGATGGCATAGCCTCTATCCCCAGTCCATTAATGGTCTCGGGAAATCTTGGGGTGTGCAAGCTGGTGCATTAACCTGGTGGAGGATATAACTGCTTGTGATGAACTCAGCTTATTTCTTCTTGGCTCAATAAGTACCCTATAAGTAGTAATGTTAAAGGATGTTCACTCATCTCCTAGACATTAAAGCTCTCATGATCAGAAGAGTACTTTAATGCAATTCCCTTGCATGGGACAGAACACGGTTTGTAGAAGCTGTTATGATTGAATCACAAGTTTCTGTCTGAGTTTTCTGAATCCAAACACAAAACTTTACTGACACTGATTGATTTGCTAATCCATGGCTGATATGTCAAATGCACTTCTGATGCTATTTCTGAAAGCTCTGACAAGCTCTTACTAAATTGCTTTCAAGAAATGACAAGTCAGAACTAGTCATGACTTGCATATCTAACTATGCTCACAGGCTTATTCGCGGCTGGACAAGTCATGTTTCTTTTTTGAATGCCCTCACCCCTCACACAAAGCATCGTATTCCACGCATGAATAACACTCCCTTGAGAAATTTCTCAATTGCCAGTTTCTTGAATATTGAATGTTTACATTTACGTGGCAATCACAGCACCTTATCCAGAACTTTCCCAGTGTTCTCATTATTACCAGCAGTGTTTTTTTCTGCCTCATTTCCCAGAATTCTGATTGCACATCAATCCAGTTTCATGAAACATTTTAGCAATGAATAGGATTGTTTTATGTGGTAGAGCATCTTTTTTAAAATGTTCCATGAGACCTCCTTTCACAATTTCCAAAGATGGCTAATCTCTCCAACCAGCATTGTAAATATGGAAGGAGTGCTCTACCATCCATACCTACTCCTGCAATGAATACTAAGGCATTTTGGTTCAATTATGTTCATATGATATTAAATTAAAAGAAAAGAAAATTTCATTTGCCTTTTTCCTTGATCATAATGTAATATCTATATTGTTGACACCATTAGTATAAACAGATCTCTAGCATCCCTGGACTGTAGTACATGGTGTTGAACCGCATCTTAATTATATCAGTTGTCCCAAACAGTGCTGTTTTTCTCATAAATTTTACTTTCTTGTTCTTGCTTCTATGGATAGCCATGTGTCTTAAAAATAAAGTAATTGTTGTACCATCTTATGTTTATTATTAATACATGTGCATTTCAAGTTTGAGAGTTATGTCTGTATAGGCATAAATTCTGGTGTTGCTCAGAAATGATTTTCAGACTTCAGACTTTCCTGCATGATGACCATGATGTATATGATCCATTTCTAGGGATCGTGGTTGCAGTTTTTCTGACTGCCTTGATTGCGTCGGTATATTTCTACAACAAGAAAAATCCTATCCTTCCTAACATCATTCTCAATGGGTGGACCCCTTGCATGCCAGGTCAGACAAATACCTGCATTCCTGTCAAACTCTTCAACTTCTCTATTAAATCCAAAAATATCTTTTGAGGAACATAAAGAAGTTATTTGTCCTGCTGGATGAAATAATTTCTGGCATGAAATGAGGCTCCTTATGCAATTGGTGAACTGAGCACATTTACAATCTATGAATACAAAGCTGTTTTGCATCAGTGAAAGAATGAGTACCACAACCTTCACCTTTACTACTTACACTCCCAAGTCTGTATTTTTTTGTGGATAGATTATGAGTTTCAAATTAACAGGTTCCCATGGATCAATATGGTGGAATGTATTCATCCCCCCTCATTTTTTTATTCTTCTTGGAGCTGTTTTCCTCCAAATCCATAGTTATTTTACTGCAGCATTACAGATGGTGCATGCAGAGGAGGCTAACTCCTGAAATGGGTTTTTCCCATCTTGTATTTTTTCTTAAAATCTGAGTTGGTATTCTCCCAGTTTTTGCAATGTAAATTGAGATAGTTATGTTCATCTTTGAAAAGGTTTTCCTTTAGGGGGAGGGGCTACTTCAGGGCCTTTCAGTTGATCCTTAAACCTTTTCACTTGACACTTGCACTCATGCATGGGAAGAATCACTGACAGCTGTCTGTTTCATCTGAAAATGTGTCAGAATTACCAGGTGTTGCACATAGATAGCCCCCCTACACAGCCTAAACTATAGGGGCTAGAAAGTTTTTTATGTCTATGAGCAACATCTGGTACATGGTAAAAACTATTGCTTATGGTGGATGATTTTTATAGGTGGATCCAATAGCCCTCCTCAGCTTGGTAAGGTTGCTGATGATGAGCAACCTCAAGCAGCATGATCTGACCTCTGACTTTGTTGGACTCTGTTGCCTCCAATTTTCCATGTGAGTCAATGCCCAATTCATCTTCAGCTATTCTTGGCTATTGGTTACCCAATCATTTTTCTTGATGAAATCCTGGCTTGGAACTTCAGTCATGTACACCCAGAATGTATTCATAAGTTCCTGTGATTTGCAATTTCATGAATAAGGCCAAATGAGCCCATATCAGATTGGTGTTTGTGTATTAAGTATTGATAGTGATGCAGGGTTCACGTTAACTTGCTATAGCGAGTCCCTGACTCAAATTCACAAAACACACAAGTCCACTGGACTCATTGACATTTGCCTGGGTTTTTTTCTAGACAAAACCCAAGGAGGTTTCATGTTAAAACATCAGCACCAAAACATAGAAATGACAACAATTGACAGAAGGATCCAGAGGTTCAGATTCAGATCACAACAGTATGATAATAATGTCCACACCATTGTAGTTTGTGCTAACTCTCTCACCTCTCACCACTGTGGCATTTATATAAAAGAAAAGAATATTCATAAACTTAAAGTGGAGTCCTGGCTGATTCACCAAAACATGTTGCTATTTTCTCACTGTCACTGTCTGGTTAACAGCTGATCAACTGAATTTTTTAATATCTAGATATTCTTTTATGTCAAAAATTTTCCACGAAGTTGTTTTCTTCTTAAGTAGCCTCCACTTCATTAAAAACTTGGTCATTTTTGAACATTTTATTGTTACTGGTTCTCCGTGCTCGAATATGCAAGCCTTGGTTAACTTCAAGTAGGTCTTCTGATCACCTTATGGTTTCCAGCCTGCCAGATATGGCAATCCCTTTAGGTGTAGGTTGGCCACACAAAGATGACTGCGTCTGGCCCTTTGTGTGGAGGAGAAATCTTAGTTGACCCACTTGAGTTCTTCCCACTCACCTTATTTTTTCCAGTTGACCTAATACCCAAATTGGGAATTCCCTTCACTGGGGGTAGTATTCCATTTAAAAGGAAGGCCTTATCAAATGTTTGCAGAGGTACCCAAGTCTTTTAAGAAAATCAAAATGATATTTCCTCGTTTTTGTCATTTTGATGTTCTGACACCAAGAGCCAGCTCTGACAGATTAAACATTCATGGGAAGTGCATTTCACTTGTTCCCACTAGGTGCGATTCTGGAGATTGAAATCACAAATCACTATAAAGCGGGGTCTGCATATGGCAGTGTGCTAACCCTGCAAAGGATGGAATTTCACATTGTCTTGGCCAAATTCATACAATGACAAATGAGACCAAGAAGACTAAAAAAAAATACAGACAGTACCTCCCAAACTGGGAAAAAGAGTTGAAATTGCTACTTCTTAAACATGGAAAATACTTTGCAACACCTGTCACAAGGTGAATGTGAAAAATGTTTACACTGAGGGTTGTATGAACTTCCAAATTGAAAATATTGAAGTTTCACTTGTGCAATTATATGGATTTTTCTCTGATTCCTCTGTAAGATATGAAGTTCTAGGAGAAGTTCAGGAGGTAAATGACTCAGACAGAGATAAGCTTCAGGAACAAACAAATGGGAGATGGATAAGTCTGTATAATGCTGTTGAAGTTGCTGCCAGGTTGTACAGAGAATTAGTTGAGGCCTTGAAGCATATTTCTGAGAGTGGATTCAGTACAAATTTCAGTAAAGCCAATGATTTACTGAAGAAGATCAAACATCTTTCTTTCCCAGCTGCAATATGTGCATGCCTTTGATGTCCTCCCTCACTTAAAGAGGCTTACAAATTCTTTTTCAGTTGAAAAATTTGAATCTTTCCATAATTCAGCCTCTGGTAAATTCAGTGATTGCTTCCTTGTAGGATATGTGGTACAATTCTGGGCAACATGAAGAAAAGTTCTGAGAAGGCCTCAATGCATACAATGACCATGAGCCTTCTTCTGATGAACTAGAGGTTCCTCCCATAATATTCTATAAGGGAGTGAAGTTTGAGCAGATGCTGTTTGATGGGGAAAAGAGCAATCTGATTGATTGAAGCCAGAAAAGATCTTGTGCAGAAAGTTATTGCCAACTTGAGGAGCAGGTTTCCAGAGAGTTCAATGAAAATTCTTTGTGCACTCAGAAAAATATTCTCTCCCAAGAAGTATCCTGCTAGCACATGTCCTTCTTCAAAGAATATGAACAGGAAAGTCTGAAGGACCTGATTGCCTTTTTACTGTCACTCTAATGATACTAAAGGAAGTCTCATGAATGAAGACAGTCTGAAGTCTTCATTCATGAGACTTCATAAACCTTGCAACCTAGCATAAGTAATGGGAGTTTCATGATTTATGCAGTATGATAATAACAGACTATGCAGAGGTGTTCCCAGAATTTGCCATGCTGGTCAGGATTGCTATGTGTATCCCTGTGTCAACTACTGCAACTGAACATGGCTTTTCATGCATGAAGTGGATCAAGTCTTGTTTGAGAAGTCAGCTTGGTCATTAAAAGCTATCTCAGCTGATGCTCCTCATCCTCATCCTCATCTCTCAAAGAGGCAGATAGGCTTCTAGAAAATGCTTTTCATGACATGAAACAGATGAGAAGGTCAGACTAGGTGAATAATGCCTGAATGGCCATTATTCTTTTCACTTGAATAAAAATTAACTTTTTACCTGGAATTTAATTTTTTGGAATCTTTAAAAATTCAAGACATACTCATGTAGTCTGTAATTGGACTCAAAGCACTTGGTGCTTTGAGTTCACTTTGAGTCCCTGGGACTCAAGATTTATAAAAGCTAATGTGAACCTTGAGTGATGTAAGTATTCATGGAATGCCATTGGAGATCATTTTCAAGAAAAGAAGAATGGCAACCCCTAGGATCCATAGAAGAAGTTTGGAAGTGGACAGTTTCCACGGAACTATACATTGAAATTGTAATTGATCTTGAGGGTGTAGGACTGATCTCACTTTCCTGATTTATTGTGCTTTTCGCTGTATACAATGAATGTACCTTCATTCACATGTAGGTGGAAGTTTACTTAGTCATTGGCCTTCCAAAATGGGAGCAACAAATTTTTGTCTTTGCAGCTCCTTGTTGGGCTTCCTGCTAAGAATTTCAGTTGCCATTTTCCCCAAAATTTGGGGGATGTTCTTATCTGTTCACTGTTATGAGGTGAATTTAGCTGACACTTTGTTGAATCTCTGAATATTTTGAATATTCAGAGAAAGGGTAACGAATTCAGCTCTGGCATCATGAGCTTGAAACTTAATAGCATGGATGCGATCAATGAATTTTAGTTCTTCACCATCATATGACATCAGGAAAAAGCAAAATGGGATGGAATAGATTCAAAATTGAACAAGAATTCCAAATATATTTAAATGTTTTCCTAACTCCTCTGACAGTTTAGGCTGTGGAGGGAGGGGCTATCTATGTGCAACACCTGGTACAGGCTTTGAAAAATGATTCTCAGAGTGAAGTTGTCAATTGTTTGCATAGTCAGTTTGAATGCATGGTGGAATTTTTTACCTGGGACCACTTAGACCTTGTGTATGCAGAATTTTTCCTTATAATACCATTGTGAACTAGGGTAGAGGCACCAGTTTGTGGATGGGCGCCTATTTGTGGACAGTTTTGCGTTTTTTGCCATTTCACTAAGTTCACGCCAAAAATTTATTTCCTCAAATGCTCCATATTTTGCGCTTAGCTGTCAGCCACAATATAAATTATGCATACCTATCAGCATGAGTGAATTTGGACATTTTTGCTCAGTTTTAGACCTAACACCCCTGAATTCCTTAATTTTTCCAATGATATTTAAGAGGACATCATTGATGATGAATATAATTGCTGTATGTGTCTCATGCCCATATTTTTCTATTTGGCCTATTCACGTTCATAATTGTTAACAAAAGCAGGTGTGCACAAATTATGTCTATGGATGCCCACAAATGTGAACCATGTGAAAATCAGCAACAGTGAATGTTGGAAATATATATTTTTTATATTTTATTTTAGGGTATGAGCATCAAACTATGATAAGTGGCCTCCCATTGAAACCAGTCAAGTGGTTTCTCAGTTACCCTAACGACTGTAATGCAATTTTCAAGAGGAAAATTTCCTTAACCTGTCCACAAACTGGTGCCTTTACCCTATACTTGAAAAGTGATTTAGATGTTCCTAGTATGGATTTTTTATATTTCCTTTTCAGCATGTGGGATCCTCCTGTGAAATGATCGTCCTGACCTTTATGGCAGATATCTGAGGAGCCAGATTTGATATTCACTTTTATTTGTGACCAAAAAGAGCAGTTGTGATATCTTGCCTCTTCTACTTCATCTGGGTAGCTGCAAAGTAATTGTAGGAAAAAATGGCAGTTTTCATCACCTCCTCTTCTCCATTCTACCTCCACTGCATTTCAAGTGACAGTTTTACTTTCTGCATTTTATGCTTTTCTTTGTGATCAACGAATTATTATTTTTTATGACCTTGTGTAAGCAGAATTTTTTCCTCATAGTGGCATTGAAGACTATACTTGAAAAGTGAGTTAGATGTTCCAAGTATGGATTTTTTTATATGTCCGTGGAGGGAAAGGAGTTTGCCCAATATGATGCAGTTTTTTTACATTTGCTTTATAAAAGCTTTTTATTCAGTAATTGTGCTACTAAAGTGAGAGTATGAGAAAATGTGAAGTCATTTTCAGCAGTTTGCATTTATGCACAAAAAGGCTAACCTGAGTTTTTGAAACCCTTCAAAATTGGATGAAAACTAATTATTTCTGTTTCAGAAGTGAAACCAATTTAAAATAATATAATTTTTTTTGTCTAAATCGGTTTAAGATCAAGAATGGGCAAGCTTAACTTAGGGTAACCTAACCTTACCTAATCTAACTTTTGAAATTGCTCAGAATTGAGAAACAAATATATTTTTTTTTATTTGACCTTCCTTTCAAATTATAAACATTAAAATCAGTTTAAGGGCCGAAATTGGGCCAACTCCTTTGATATTCTTGTATATCTGTGACCAAACTACACTCCATCTGGGCAGCTCCAGAGTGATCTGGACCAAAAAATGGCTGCTATCATAGCTTCTCTTTCACTTTCTACCTCCTATGCATTCAGCTGTACCAAATGGCAGTTTCAATTTCAGTGTTTCAAGTTTTTCCTTGTGACTCAGGGCACTTTATGCTGGTATCCTTCCATGCCAAATACCTTGCAGGTAATATGATTCATGTACCTTAGTGGCACCAATCTGAGGAGAGAATTTAAATAGTCCTGAATAACTTTCATTAAACTGGTATGTTTTATGATCACGTTATGATGATCACCTTTTTCACTCTGTCTGGGGCAGCTCCAGAGTGTTCTGGGGAAAAAAAGGCTGCTGTCATACCCTTCCTCTTCTTTCTTCCACTGCAATTCAGGTTTAAGTTTTATTCGTGACTCGTGTCCGAACATTTTTCTTATGTAACTTGGTTTCCTTCCTTGACACAAATATTTCCTGCAGGGATAACCGGATAATCGTGATTTGTGCCTATCAAAGTTGATTTTTATATTGAATCCATTTTTATATATTTTTTTTCATTGGGATGAAAACACCTACCTCATTGTTAATAAAGAATCTCAGCTTTCCTTGATGAAAGTGCTGAAGTCCTTCAGAGCTTCCAAACATCTGCCTCAGATGTGGACATGCTACATTCGACCTAGGGTATGTGATACAAATTCCGACCCCCTTAAGCTCAAAATCTGCCCCTTCACAGTACGTTGTAAAATTATTTTTTGTTCTTAGATCTATGCCATTCGAGAGGAAAATGCACGCACTATCCGTTCACGTTTGGAGGCCGGATTTTAATTTAATTTTGTTGAGAAACGCTGTTCAATTTCTTATTACGTTTAATTATGTGACGTGGGGGCAGAATTAGTCTGACATTGACTATACATTGTAAAGTGCAGCCCCAGACAAGTGCATGACCGGAATTCATGCATTTGGCCCAAAAGAACTGCACTGCATCTAATTGGATGAGAGTAAGTGATACCAAACTGGGGCTGCACTTTACAATGTATAGTCAATGTCAGACTAATTCTGCCCCCACGTCACATAATTAAACGTAATAAGAAATTGAACAGTGTTTCTCAACAAAATTTAATTAAAATCCGGTCTCCAAACGTGAACGGATAGTGCGTGCATTTTCCTCTCGAATGGCATAGATCTAAGAACAAAAAATAATTTGCCTAAAAAAAATTCCAGCAGCTGACCGTGCGCTCTCTCCTGTTAGGAGAGAGCGCACCTAACCCAGCCACATACAGTTGTGTTGCGACCGTTTCGTGCGATTAGGTGAACCACCACGTCGTTCCCCCTCAATAACAGCCAGCAAATGAGTGTCGTGGCCTCACTGATGTGCTCAAAGGTTCAGGGGAATTTTCCCTAGACGAAAGACGGTCCATATACGTCCAAGGTGGTCCACACGAAACTTTTTTAAAAATATAGGTTGCAACTGGTTTGAAATACATATACAAATGCAGGAAATAAAAGAGAGACATTCTGGAAAATGTATGCAACTGTTCAGACGAGAGGTTTTTCAGTAAAAAAAAAAAAAAAAGGCCGAATCCAAGACTTTCCAAAAATGTATGTATTCCAAAATTTTTCTGCATTGGGCGCTAAGAAACATCCTCTGAAGTAAAAATAATAATGATATTAAATAAGTAAATGCGAGACGCTGGTGGACGTCCAGGTCCAGGTGCAGGTGTGGGAACGGATCCCGGGGAGTCCGCCGAGCCCTTTCCCTCCGGCAAGGACGCGAAGGCGCGCAGTGGGTGGGGAGTGGGGACTCCGTGCGTGGACGTGCTACTTGCTCGGGAGGCTGGGAGGATCCCCCGTCTTCCGTGCACAATAGCCTTTTTGTTTTGATTTTTTTTTATCCATTGGTCGACGCGGTAAAAGTGGAATGCAAAAGGTGGCACGTCACGTCCGAAGCCTTCGAAAGCCTTTCGGAAGAAACTAGTTCATTGGTCTCGCCAGCCGTTAAATGGAATGAATGGATTCTTCGAAGCGACTGCGAGACGTAAGAAAAAAATTGGCGCCAAGGCTCCGGCATGTGGGAGCCCAAAGTCCAGTTTCGGACTCTAAAGCGAGGTCGGAAAGACATCTGGAATCGGTGTCCTTGGCTCAACTCGAAGAATGGAATTATTCTAATAGGATCAGTCCGAGAAGACAGTTATAAATACCCCCGGATGATTTATATCTAAAAAAAAAAAAAAAAACGTTCCCAGCTCTACACGTCTACAAAACGGAATAACA